AGAGAGAGAAAAAGAGAATTTTCTAATATTTTTTAAATATTTTACGAACAATATAAATTATCAAGTTATTATTATGATTTAATATACTTATTAAAAATATCCATGCTTTATATTCAAAGAACTATTCGAATCATTTTTAAAATAACAAAAAATATTGACAGCATTAGGTATCTAATATTTCTATGTGCAAAAAAAATCTGAGATAATTTGTGAAAAATAAAAGTCAAATCTCGTTACATCACTCGTAGAAAAAAACATTTCTAATCAATCAAATAATTAGATACATCTCGCAGATGAGATTTCCTTCATTATTCATATTCGTTACGATAATTTTGAAACAATCATACGCACGGTCATCACACCGGAAAAAAATCTCAACAGCTAAAACCTAGCGGCTCTACCTAACGATCTCCAGATTTTTATTGCGTCATTAAACTTCGCCTCGAAAGGTGGCCCGGTCTCTTCGGATGTTTTTCAGAAACGACCCGTCTCATCTTCGAACATGGAAACTGGATTACGATTAAAAATAATTTTATACTTCGTGATAACAAATTTACGCCCTTCTATTGCGCTTCTCTTTATGTTCCCGGATCTTGTGCAAAGTCGTTGACACGTTTTCCAACTGCGGAATTCGGAATATCCGAGGAATTATCGCATGCATCGAATTGCTCTTAGGATTCGTGTAACGTCGCTCACTCGTATGTGCTATAACTATGAGTCTTGAAATGAATTATGATTACAGTTTCATAACCTCATCTAGAAAATCATTTATTTATATATGTAGATTTCACGATCACGTTAAGAGTTCAAGTTATTAAGAAAACGCGTTTGGTAATAGTAAAAATAAAGTGTGTCACGTTAATATTTATTAGTGCATTGCGATTTTTGTCGTTATCCTTTACGATCCTATAATAAAATGGAGTAGAAATGATTTGCAACAATCCCATAAAAATTTCAAATGTCAAATAAAATATTTTTATTCCGACTCGTTCTAACGGTTCATAAGCAATCAACATTTCAAAATATTTTTTCTTTACCGAGAAATTTATGGATGCAAGTGAACACATTTCACTATAATTATTACTTCCTCCAATACTTGTTTAATTATAAAAGTATGAATAAAAATCTTTATATTTGTTTGAAAAGGTGCTTTTGTCCAAAGGTTACATTTTAACTCGCAGCAAAAAAAATTTTTTTATAAATATTATGAGATGCAGACTGTCTTGATGCAACCGTCGAGTTTTCGAGTTCA